AACTTGCATTATCAAAATGTCATTCAATCGATTTAACTTTTAATTATCGGCATTCATCGTATCGATCACTTATCGAGCGGTTTTACTTTTATATTTTGCCCTATATCTCCAATAATATTCAATCTCTTTCACTTAATTTGATACATTTATTACATTTTGATACAATTCTCAAATATTATAATGAAATCACATTTAGTTTAACACATTTGAAAATAATCTTATGTCGTTTCCATTGCAAGTCAGGAAAACAATTCAAAATAGGTAAACTCTTATTTTATTAGAAACTCTTCATTCAAATTGATTTGATTTATTTGCTCATTGGATAATAGAAAGTAAAAATCAGACGAAAAATCTAATCTTCATTTGAAATAAACGCAAAATAGGACTATCTTATCCATGTAAAACAACAAAAAAAAAGATTAAGTATTGAAATCAAAGAATAAAAAATTGGATCTTCTTTTTTTTTTGGTTTTAATTGTATGACTCTTAAACAATCTATTTCAGTCACGACTATTTAATCATTATAAAAATTGATTATAAGAGCAATAAGATTTTGTTGACTGAATATAAGAAGAAAAATATGTTAAACTTTTAATCTAATTATAATTTTATTCTGTTAACAATTAGTGTATGATAGTTATGAACATTTGAATAGAAGGTGGAAAGATGACTGATTGTCTGTTTAGTTATAAATGTAAAGTATATTCACTCGAAACTTTCATGAAATATTATATATGTGTAGTTTTATAGAAGTGCTATACTTTCATTTTTCTATATATCTAGGTCCTTATTGTGAGAATTCGGTGCGACATTTGCCTCTTTTCTCATTCATTCCAGAATTTTTGGATCTCGACGACGAATTATTTAGTCGTGTGTCGCAATTCATTAATTATTCATTACTTATGCGTAGAATTGTTTCACTTGAGTTGGATGATAACTGTATTTTTCGAATGTTTCCAATTGAAGAAGGATTATTATTTTCTCAATGTCCTCATCTTATTCACATTCGTATTGCACTTCAACGATTTGAAGACTGTGTCCGACTACTCAGCCAATTAGGAAAACAATTGTGCTCGTTGTTTATGACGATAGGACATGTTTCCCGAAACGATGACCATATTATATCTGATATAACATCCGTAAGTAATTGCTTGTAATCTGAAATTTGAAATGATTTATTTCTTTTAGATATCCTGTCCAAATTTAAAGGAATTAACAATAATATGTTATCGCAATATTCTACATTATGACCGATTTATTCTACTTTTTTCTCGTTTATCAACTGTCGAACATTTGACATTATTATTGGGTGTCGGTGCAAATAGATTTGGACTGGATCATTTTATTGATGGATTTGATTTACAACGAAATGTTATTTCACAGATGCCTCATCTACGTCAATTTAATTTTTATATTCGTTCAATATTAAAAGATGCTCCTCAAATAAACATCGATATACTTTGTCAAAGTTTTCTCGAACAACGCATACAACAATTCGTTGATTGTACATTGGATTATTTTAATAATCATTATGGACAATGTCAAGTGTTTTCACTTCCATTTATTGGTACTCGTCTTGATTTTATTTCTAATAGATTTCTTCTTTTTGATGTTACAAACACATTTTCAAATGTCACCACATTATTACTCTTCGATGATATTAAACCTTTCGAACATAATTTTTTTGAACGTGTAACTCAAGCTCTTCCTCATCTTAAAACATTAAACGTGTTTAATCTGCTTGAACAAGAAGAGACAAAGAATACTGCAACAAAATTAATTGTATTTTCTCATTTAGTTGCACTTATTTTACATGATATACATATGGACTATGCTGAACAATTTCTTTGTCGAAGTCATCTTCCACACCTGATTGAACTCTTTATTCGTAATGACGCACTATTACTTATCATTGCTAACAATGATCAACAAGCAAAAGATAACTGTGCAAATATTGAAAGACTTCGTATTGTTGAACCATGGATCGAGCCTACAAGTGCTCACTTGAACTTTTTTCCGTCAATTTAACTCTGTCAAAGAAAGATTAATAGACAATGAAATGTTAATTCTCATATCTCTTCTATTAAAATAGTAGTTCTTCCATTAATTGGTGGAAATTTTTCGTAGCAAATATGGGCAAAATCATTTGTTAACGACGTGACTTCGCAAAATTGAAACGCATATATATCTGGACATTGAACTTATCTAAAGCTAATTTTTTATATGCTATATGTATGTTAAGTTGCTTGATACACCCTGGAAAAGGTTATTAGTGCAATCTCTGCAGGATTAAAATGTGAAAGACGAACGAGCTACTTCAATTGATTCGTTTCATTTCCATAGTCACCATTATCGGCCACTATTTTACCATTGGTCACACCAAGTTTCCATTCCATAATTCGATAATTTTCACTGTCTACAACATAAATAGTTTGATCATGATCAATAGATATACCAAATGAGTCAGAGAGTTGATTGATTCGATTGCCAACTCCATCATTTCCGGTGACAGTAAAACCATTTTGTTCCCAACTTATATTCTTATGAATATTCGATTTCGCTGCCGATGATTCTAGGTGAAAGAAAATTTTTATGAAATGGTACTATTCTTTAAAAAAAGAATGAATTTTATTTTTATCTCAATCTAAAGTTCGACATAAGCAACATGTCCTTACAGATTTTCTATATTTCACTAATAATATTCATAATCGAAAAACGTAATAATACACAATATCCAACGATAAATAAGAGAACGAATAATAGTAAATTTATCCATAACAGTTCTCTTGAATTTAATATTTGTTTTAATTTTGACTCTAAATGGAATAGTTTTTATCTTGAACAAACTTTTGCCTTCGATTAATATATGTATTATGACCATCAGTATTGTTTTGATTAACAAAAGCTAAGTTGAATTATGAATAAATAGAAAATATAAATATATTCGTCACTTACAATGTTCATCTTCATATTTAATTTCATTAAATGTTTTTACTGAAGTCGTGAAATCTTGTGCATTTATTTCATGTGAATCGCCGAGAGAATCACTAAGTGATAGATTATTGTCGACATCGATATGACAACGTTTTTGATCTTCATTAATAAGATGATCTGATAGATTCACAATATAGAAGTATCCGAACGATGATTATCCATCAATAAATATCTTTAATGCAAGGAAAACGATTTCATTATATGATGCTCAGACTTTTTAGAAAGAACTACGCCTCAAATGAGCAATATATAGATGAAAATGGTTGACATGACTAGCCCGAAATATTCTCATACTCGTTATGTCTAGTCTGAAATGTTTTGCACACACATCATGACTAGTCAACTTGAGAAGAAATCTCCTTTGTTTATTTCTGAAGTAGTGCAGAATATCAATGAACATCATCATATCTAGTCCGTTTTGTCCGCTAACACCGTTCAGACTAATCAGCATAAAAGAAAAATAATAAAAACAAGAAGACAAGTTTATTCAAGCATTCGATTGGACAGTAATTCATATGAAACCCAGATATCCTGATGACAGCCTATTACATATCGATAGATTGATGATAGTTTTGACTGTTGGAATAATGAATGATGCTGGTCCATGTATTAGGCGATTTGAAATCTGTTGAAGATAAGTAATTTGATGAATATGAAGTGTTATCTGTCTATGTCAAGACTATTCTGTTTTTTTTGACAATGTTCTTTCAATCTCCATTCACACTAGTCTAAAACTCCAAATAACCCATTTTATTCTAAGCTAAACTAATCCATAATGCACAAGAACAAAAAGTAGAATTTATCACGACAAGAAAGTTTTCAATATCTCTATCATGTGTTAAAAACAATCGAATAATAATCAATATATTGAAAACATGTATCATATAAGAGAATAACATGCATGGTAGAACACATTGTTGATTTCCGAATTCAGCTAAAGCATGATTGACATGTTTTTAGCAAAAATCATCGTCAAGAAAATCTCTACAAAATCGAGTATTTAACAAACTTTCGAATACATTTGTTGTTTTTTGTAGTCAAGAATCAATGGAGATGAAACTTTGATTATATTTACTCGAATTTTTCAAGACTCCCATGTGCAAAAACTTTCAAAAGAGTTCTTTAAAGGTTCACAGTATTCAGATGAACTATTATGTAATCTACAAGACTGCCAATACATACTATAAAAGAAACTGTGAAAATCTAAAAGCATGATGTATTCGAATTGTATCACAATAATCTATATGATCTATGGCTTATCTCTGGTTGAACGTTGTGAAATCTTTCACGAAGGGAAAAACTCAACAGCTGGAAGCGATATTACTAAACTTTTTAATCATGAATAGCAATATTAGAAGTTGAGAGAGAATAATATTAGTAATGTTAACATCAGATTTGAATCTGATTAAAAATTCGTTTCCATACTTATGCCGAATATGCAATTGATTAAGCATAATTTTGAAAATATTTTTTTTGCAAACTAAAATGTTAAAATCCATAAAAAACACATTTTTTCTTCCAAATTCCAGTAATTCGAGTAAACATTCTCACCACAATTTATGTCAACACTAAAGATTAGTGAATCAGATGCAACTCGATGAACTCTATTGATTAGTACTAGTTTCATTCATATCTGCTAGCAGTTAAGCTGAGAAGAGTCTATGAGGATCCCAATGAAAAATATTTTCAACTATATGATTTACTATTACTATTTTTGTATAGTATCTTTTTTTCATTATAATCATTCAGTATGTTGTCGAAGCAACAAAAAAACAAAAAAGAGGACTGTATTGAAGGCTCGTACTATTTGATGTTTCTGCATTCAATTTCCATTCTTTTACTATTAATTCATCATATTGATAAATTTGTGGAGGTGTCGATATGAATCAATCTCTTCAAACTATTGCAAAAAACTGCATATTTGAATTATTCGAATTCGAAGATTGTCTTCAAATTTTTAAAAAGAACATTTCTCATGCGATCTATTTTATTCAAAGAACTTGTTCATAATATTCTCTCGTGTTCTTGTGGCATAAGTAGTTAACGCATTCAACTTTTAACCGGACGATTGATAGTAGAATTCTGTTCATTAACTGCGATCTTTGATCGCTCTGATTAGTAAGATGATATAGTCATGCACCGTCATTACCATTTTTTGAGTGTGTTATTTGGGCCTCTCCAATGACAGTTCTCAATTATTTTATTTTTTCGGCTATGAGTAATTATAAAATACGCAAATTCATAGAACAAGAAGAAAAAAAATTCATCATACATCAATGTTTGTTTTTCTGACTTGAGATCTATTGATGGTAAGACTCCAATAAAGAGGTATATCAGTGACTCATTTCACAGAGTATCTTTTTTTCAATACGAAGTTATTGCAGGCAAATAAACAGGACGATAATGAAGTGTTTACGTGACGCAAGTACTTTGATAGGGAAACCGTCACCTTCTATTTAAGGTATTGTATAATTTTGTTTCAATATATCGATGATAAGAATAAATAATAAAGAACTACTTCTTGATGGACTCGAGCCATCGATTCCCTGGTTAAAAGCCGGATGCGTTAGCCAACTACGTCACGAGAGCACAAGTGTTCACAGGGTGTGGGTGTGGGGTGTAGGCGTAGGTGCGGACGTGGGTGTGGGACAAGATGATAGTACACCCACACCCACACCCTCACCCACATCCACATCCCTCACCCACATCCACATCCCTCACCCATATCCACATCCCTCACCCACACCCACACCCACACCCACACCCACACCCACACCCACATGTGATGGAAATCTTTATGCACAATATCAGAAACATGCAAGCAATGATAGTACCACAGTTGGTAAATATCTCTTCCTTGTCGTTTTATACTTGATGTGTATTTAATAAAGAACTATTACTAATTATTCATTACTGCTTCCATAGTTTTCTATCATAAAGTTTTGAATTCGATTTAATAATACATTTTGAACACAGCTGAGAAGCCCTTGGAGCAAGGTCGAAACCTGTCGTGGCATGCTTTTCAACACCGATAATGACTGCTCGTATTCTGTTACTATCGAGAGTATTCTGACACTATTATCTTCGGATAGTAGCAGAGCAGACTTTCGTCTTTATGATGAAAATTCGGCAATCTGATGAGTTCTCGTGTCAGACTAGAACGAAATCGGTAATGGATGATGGTACTTTGCACTGAACAATTTGTAACAATGTGAATAGCTCTATTTGGATTTATTTAATCCATCTTAGGCCATGCCATTTGAAAAGATACTTTAGTACGGTCAGGGATGCCAGATCAAAAAGTTAAAAATCGAAAGTTCGTATATAAAAATTTGGAATTTTTTCCAAGAAATTCGGAAAAATTTTCGAAATTGATTTTTCAATATTTTGAGACACAGTTTCACTTTCTTTCTGTGAGAAAAACATTGTTTATATCAACCCATAATTTATTCTTATACAATTTACTCAAATGCAAAAAAAAAGTAGAACTGTTATTTCACTATGAAAACAATTACTTTTCTGAAAATGAAATCCTTCGAGAAAAACAATACAATGTTTTTATATCTAAGTGTACATATATACAAATATAATACAGTTCGAAACACTTACTTAAAAATAAGGGTGGGGGTGTGGGTGCGGGTATATATCTCTCATTCATGCACACCCACACCCACACCCCACCTAATGTTATAAAGATGATGGAACAATATATGATCCTTATACTCGAAGTTTAATATCATCAACAAGATTTATTTTTAATTATGCTATGGCATATGTTCATTTTGGTAAAGATGATTATCTTCAACGAACACGTCATGGTCTAAATTACATTCGAAATGTGCATCGTAATCCAAAAACAGTTGGTTATGCATGGATTATTTATGATGGAAAAATTACTGATGATACAAATCATTGTTATGGTTTAGCATTTGTTATGTTAGCATATGCATGTGCATTACGTGTTAGTATTGAACAAGCACGTGAATAGATTCGTGAAACATATGATATAATGGAAGAACATTTTTGGTTAAAAGAAAAAGGTTTATATGCAAATGAAGCAACACGTGATTGGCAATTAAAAGATTATCGTGATCAAAATGATAATATGCATGCACGTGAAGCGATGTTAACTGCATATGAAGTAACGAAAGATGAAATTTATTTAGAACGTGCTAAAAGTGTAGCTAAAGTTATGACAGAAAGTTCAAAAGAATTAAATTATCAAATATGGGAACATTATTATTCTGATTGCACACCCGATTTTGAATATAATAAAAATGTTCGAACAAATTCATTACGTCCATGGGGTATTCAAACAGGTTATCAAACTGAATGGGCTAAACTTTTACTTATACTTGATCGACATGATCCACATGATCCACAACCATGACATCTTGAGCGTGCTATTCGTTTATTTGATCATGCAATGAAATATGGTCGGGATGAAGAAAATGGTGGATTAATTTATGGTTATGATCTTGAAGGAAATTTGTATGATGATGACAAATATTTTTGGGTACAATGTGAAAGTTTAGCAACAACAGCTTTACTTGGTGATAAATTAAACGATGAAAAATATTGGCGACGGTATGATAAAATATGAGATTATAGTTGGAAATATTTTGTCGATCATAAATATGGCGGATGGTATAGAATATTAACACCAACAAATGAGAAATGTTCTGATGAAAAATCACCAACTGGAAAAACTGATTATCATACAATGGGTGTTTGCTATGAAGTACTCAATGTTATTCATAAAGAATAATTCTAGAGAATTTTTATTTGATAAAATATGAAAATTATATTCTAAAATTTATCATATATAGGTGGCAGTTGATTTTTAATGTTTTGTTTTTGTAATGAATCTTCTTATGTTGATTTATTATGATTAATAAAAAAAGTTCAAATAAGGATCTAATACTTTGAGATAAAACAATGTCTTTGATGTTCCATCGCATTGTCTTTCTTGTTTTTTGACTATTTTAAGTTGACAATCATTAATCAACAAAGTATCAATAAGAAAAATTCAGTAGCTACTAATAATTTCAACATTAAATCATCTCAATTGATCGTCTATAGAAATTATTGTGATCAAATATTCGTCAGCAGGGTGTGGGTGTGGGTGTGGGTGTGCATATGACTCATTGCTTCACCCATATTCATACACACCATTGGTATCATCTTACAGAAAAATCGTCTCATGTTCATGGTAATCTATGTTTTATTCACTTCAACATAAAGCCCAATGGAACTTCTTTCTTAGAACACTCGTGCTCCGATAGTTATCATTAATCGAATGATTAAACAAAAATCCAATGAGTATCTTATTGCTAGTCGTTGTCTAATTTTATCCGATCTGAACCGCCTGAAATCATATTAAAATGAATTTCGTTGCATATGTATGTTTGTTTTTGGCTTCTTTGTGATCACGCGTCGATCATTCGTTCTGTAAATATTCTACTGTTTCTAGGCGCAGTTCTTCTTAATAGAATGCATATTTGAATGGAATGAAAAAAAGCGAAAAAGAAGGAGGCAAAGCACACAGAAACGAAAGAAAAAACATTGCCATGCAGCACAAGTAAGAATCGAGTCATTTGAAAAAGAATAAGCAGACAGTGTATAACTCAAAATATTTAAATAAGCAGCAAACATCATGGTTGCAATTATTTGACTGTGGTGAGTTAATTATTAGGAAGATTCGAAAGGGAAAGTAACCGTTTTGAATGCTATATATTTAGTGTTGAGACACTGCGAATATTAGTAATAGTTAATACAGATATGACATTGACAATCATGGTCCACTTTACATAAGCTGATCGATACGTCAATGTGCCTGGAGCAATCCAAAACTACTCTCGTCAAGGTCTTATTTTCGTATAGTAAACAAAAAAATTTTCCTTTTTGTGAATAGATAGAACGTCTTTCATTCTATCTTTTTATGCTATTTGATCGATCGTCACTAAGTACTAGAATAAAAAACCTTGGTGAGAACTGTTTTTGTTGGAAGCTGGCAGGTTGCATTATTCTCTCTACTGAAAGGAGGGTAATGCGCTGAGTAGCTCCCACAATCAAATATTAGTTCGTTAATTCTCACTGCAGAATGAAAGAAAAAATGTATATATACATATATGTATATATTTGCGGTGCAGACCGCAAGAAAAAAAGTATACAAAATGAAAGAGGTGTATACATCGATTTGATTGGCTGCAGAACGACAGAAAAAGAAAATATTGATATAAACACATAGTGAGCCGACAGAGCGAAGAAAGCATAGCGTTTTAAGTGAATCAACATCAAATCCACTACGTGTAGCGACTTCTTAAAAAACTAAATGGGCCGAGACTTTGATGAATACTAGTAGATAAAAAAAAATTCTTTATCAATCTGTATTTTTACTTCTTTTCAGAAAAGTGATTATAACCGAGAAATAGTCGATAAAATCTGTTCAATCCAAACAGATATAAAATATTACCATTATACCGTATTCTTATTGATCGTCGAATTTCACTGCTCAGTATTAGTCTACTTAATCAATAATTTTCTTCAGAAAAAAAGGCCGAAAAATCTGACTTCTTGAGATGATTTGTCTTTTGCCAAGCTACAATTTAATATAAAGTAGTCCCTCTGAAAAAGTGATCGGAGTATTTCAGAAATTAGCGCTACTAAGTTCATAACTGTATTTGCCATTTGATATTGATTTGGGTGTGGATAGTGGCGGGCCAAAGAGCGCCAGTTGCACTGGTAACTATTGGTTACTGCCATACCTTGCCATACCAATTAGCAGCGCAAGTGACGTTCTTCGGCCCGCCACTGGGTGTGGGTGTGGTGTTTGTAGGTGTGGATGTGGGTGGGTGTAAGTGTGAGTCGGATATGGATGTGAATCTTCTCTGAGTTCACACACACCCCAAATCGAAATATTTTAATCGTTATGCTAGAAAGTTAAATATGCGTCTTGACGCATTGACTGAAGATTCAGGATCATGAAATTAAAGATAATGTAAAATAAACATAGGTCGATGGAAGCGAAAACTCTCCGACTGATTATTTTAGTAGATTACTATCATACTATTTTCCTTCAAGTAGAGGGTTTGGCGATGTTTGCGTCGCGTTACTTGTATTATATCATCATTCCTGATGGTGCAGTTGGGTGTGGGTAGCTGGGATGTGGATTGTGGGTGCGCGAGTGGGTGTGTGCTTTGCTTTCGTCCACACCCACACTGTACACAACACCCCACACCCACACCCTGTTATGTATACATCCGCCTGACCGAAAATAGTGTCACTTGATATATTTAATATATCATTACTATAAATTAACAGTTTGACAAAATTAATTATATATTCTGATAGGCTGCGAAATTCTGTACAACTCTATATGTAGATGCTTTGGATTGCACCTATCCCCTATAAATAAATTCAAGTAGAGTAAATGTACCCTCATCATCAGATTCTCTGAAGATCCTCTTTTTCTTCAATTTCATCCGTTTTTTTTCAAATTTACTTTGTCATATAGAAACAAGGTAGTACAAAATAAAGTATGCAAGCTGAAAATTTTTATCACGTTGTGCTTTGCCAGCCATTATTAGCTATTATTTGACTACAAATATTTGGTATATTATTTCTATAACCACATATGACGTTTTATGGAATCACATTTCATATTTGCTCAAATAAACGCTCTAAATGTTGTTGAAAGTTTGGGTAATTCGTTTGCACATACCGATTCATCCAAGACTAAAAACATTCTCAACAGCATTGAGATCTGGACCAACAGGCGGATAGTCATTCATAACACTACGTTATAAACTAATGCATCCAAGTAAATTATATTCTTAAGAAAATAGAAAGAAAAGTCAGAGAACGATGACGTATATAGCATTTGAAAAGAAAGAGAAGAATAAATTACTCATTATTCTTACCATTATGCTCTGTAGATAAAAACGATTACATATGCGTATGAAAATACGCTGGACATCTCAAAATTTTCCTCTTCACTGCTATTTTAGTACACTTTCAGCTTGCATACTTAATTTTGTACTACCTTGTTTCTATATGACAAAATAAATTTGAAAAAAAAACGGATGAAACAGAAGAAAAAGTGCATCTCCAAAGAATCTAATGATGAGGATGCCTTTACTGTACTTAAATTTATTGCTAGGGGATAGGTGCAATCAAAAGCATCTGTATATAAAGTTGTAGAGAATTCCACAGCCTATCAGAATATATAATTAATTTTGTCAAAAATGTTAATTTATAGTAATGATATATTGAATATATCAAGTGACACTATTTTTGGTCTGGGGAATATATATATAAGAGTTTTTATTTCGACTAAATATACTATAGAGGCATAGAAGTTAGATGGACCAAATAAGAAGTATGTTCGACAGAACGTGAAAGATAATAGAGAAATTTGAAAAGCAAGAATATAGTTTTTATCATCTTATTGTCAGAAATTAAATTGTTAAATTGCTAAAGTAAAAATAGAGAAGAACAGTACAATAAGTAATTTTCGACTGTGGATACATCATTTTATTTAATTTTTGATCTATCTTCATTTATTTACAAGATATTGAAAAATCAAAGTTTGTTGTCAATTACTTTTGCAAAGTTTTTGACAGATAAATAAATTATGTTGATTGATGCATTAAATAACAATATGAAATTTAATTGACGACGAAATGACATTATATAGTCATCAATAATTTTCACTTGTTTTCTCCTGTACAAATCACATACAATAACGTATAAAAACAAAGATAAAAAAAAGTGGTAAGCGTCAAGAATATAATATAATTCGGATAGTGTGTTTTGAAATTGTATCAATCATATTTCGAAAGTGATTGATCCGATTAGAAGAAAAACACGATCGATTTTAACTTTGGTTAATGAATTTCTATCGTATTCTATAATTTACTAAAACACGTCATCTGTAATTATTGAAAATCTAAATCATATATTTTGTTCTCGCTTATTGAATAGATGATACGCCTTTTTGGTATAAACATTTGTTGAACGAAAAAAAGAGTACATTTTGAAAGGCCTCCTGTTTATGTGAAAGAAAGAATTTGAGAAATTTGTTTTATGTTTTGTTGTGTGATCTGTTGGAAAAAAAAACTGTCCTTTTTTTTGTGTTATTTCATGTCATGTTCGTTGTTAAATAATTAAAAGAATAGAGCTTTCGCTATTTCGTTTTTTTTCTCTTTATTGTCCTTCGAACATGTAATTGAGAAATAAATACGATATTCACATTTTTCACCCACTCATACATAAAAGACTTCAATCTTTTTATAATTTACTATAAAAGTACGTTTATTTTTTTTTGTGATCTCATTTGTATGAAACTAAGATTAAATATTTTTGGCATGAGTACTGATCGATACCTCTGCATCTCTAATGAATTAAGGAATATATAGTATTTTGTGTAAGTAGCATTTTTAATTTTTACAGCGAATTAGTATCTTCATTTTCATCAGAATCTTAATTGAGAGATAGTTAGAAAAAAAAACTATTTTATTGATAAATTATTTTTCTCATCTTCGAAATATATATGAAACGCCGCAATGAGAATTTCTAACTTCACGATTGTTGTTTGAAATGATCGCATGAAAAAAAATCAAATAAACGTTATGTATTGACAATAAAAACAATAGATAAATATTACTGTTCATTCAAAGTCTGTGAAGTTTTAAATAACCGTAGAAGATTGATTAACAACTAAACCAATATTATTAACGTCATTATCGTTTGTTATTGATAATGCTAATAATAAATCAGTTGACGAGTTCATGATGAATAATTATATGTTGTTGTTTTAACAGTAAATCACTTTCCATTAATTTTCTCTTTATCTCTCTATCCTTTCTCATTCTGTACATATCGTAAATAGTTGTAATTAAAATTTAGTTCTGTTTATAATTTGACTATTCATCATATAATCAAGAATAGTCACAACTCAAACAGGAGTTATATCTAAAGAATATCCAGTACAAATTAAAAATACAGGGTGGTCCAAAAAAAACTTACCCTCCCCCCCCCCCAACTGTCTTTTAACTTCTTTTTTTATGAACAAGTGCATTTCAAATACAAAACTATTTTTATTTCAAAAACTATAAACATCGATAATCATCATGAGTTAGGCGTTGCCCGCCATTTTTAGTTAACAGAGAAGTTCGTCTAAACATTGATGAGATTATAGATTGGCATTGCTGGGACGAAATTGATTGCCAAATTTTTTTGATTTGTGATTCCAGTTGATTGATAGTTAAATATTTCATATCAAATAGTTTTTCACGGATAATGCTCTACACTATTTCTATAGCCCATACATCATCAAATTTAGGGCTTTGGACAGCGACAGGAATTCTTTCATTGAATAAGGCATCGATTTGTTGAAGCACCGCTTGGGTGCGATGAATACGTGCAGCATCATCTTGAAAGATTGGTATCTGATTTCGATATTGTTGCATAATAGCTGGATAAGCAATAGTTCTAATGCGATCAGCATATCGGGTACCATTCATTGTTTTCTTGGCACGTTTTGGCCATTGATATGCTTCCAAAAACTCATCGATGAACACTGGTGCTTCTCATGGAATTAAACCATTCCAACTTATGGCACCCCAAAGCATAATACCAGGAGAAAATTTTTCACGACCGAAATAACCACCATGTTTATCAGCATCTTGTCGACTGGTGGACCAAATAATATCATTTTTGGAGTTGAACTGTGGTGTAGACGGAAGGGTTTAGAAAAGTCAGTTTTCACAAGTCATTGCCATTTTGATGAATGTACTTGTGAATTGAGTTTCCAGTATTGCTTTAGCCAAAATGCGAATTTTTTTCTTTTCATTCGATGTTCGTTTGTGATCTTAGACGATGTTTTACGATGGTATGGTTTGGCAAATTTTTTCAAATTACGTAGAACTGTAGATCTTGAAACATTCACCATTGGTGCAACATTTCGAATTGAACGTCTTCTTTTATTTAAAACTAATCGTTTCAATTTATTTGACACTTGTTTTGATGATGCAGTTGGTGGACGACTGGAGCCTGATCGACGTAAAGGTGTTGTACCAGTTTCATGAAATTTCTTTAATTGATATTTTATATTTTGTAAGAGAGAATTTTGACATGAGTATTTTATTTTTTCTCGTTCCAGCATCGATTTTATATCTGATAAAATTCTTTTGGCTCCCCAATCAGGATGAAGCTTTTTCAAGATGCCAACTGTTTCTCGTACTAGCTTTCTTCCAGTTCTATTCATCTGAAACAAAAAGAAAATCAAAAAATTCTTTGCAAGTTGAATAATCAATATTTTGAAGTGGGGGGGGGGGGGGGGGTAAGTTTTTTTTGGACCACCCTGTATATTCACACTGAGTACACGGATAACAAATGCACAAAAGTTAGAATAAAACTGTCCACTATTGGAATAAAAATCAATTTTCAGCTATTCATAACATCATCAAACAATTGCGATTTTTCATTCTTTTCTAGACTCTGTCTACCATATATATAGGGATGCACCATGTTTTAGGGCTCATTTGAGTTGCAAAACGACTAGCAGTAACAAGTAAGAAAAATTGATTTTTAAGCAGTATTATTCAATCGACAAATGATCCTTTTTAGTCTTTTTGAGACTCTGCCTACCATATATATAGGGGTGCACCACATATTCGTGCTCTTTCGAGTTGAAGAATAGGCAGAAGTAACAAGTATGAAAAATCGATTTTTAAGTATCATTATTCATAAAAGAAACGATCTTTCCCATCTTTACAAATCGCTTTTTGTCTCAAGTACCTCATTCCGAGGTATTTTTGAAACTTAAAAATCTGCTTTCATACATAGGAACCTTTTTTGAATGATACCTGGTTTTCAAGGTAGTTTTGGGGATAATTACGATGTACAGAAAAAAAAAGATCTTTAATGATCTTTAATGATATTTATCTTTGAAGTACCTGATATTAGGATATTTTTCGTGCTTGAATTTATATTTTCATAAAGAAAGATTTTTTTATAGAAGAATACCTTATTCCGTAGACATTTTCGAGATTAAAATACTGTGTTTGAATGAAAAGATCTTTAAAGACCTTGAAATATAACGGGTGTCCCAGAAATAATGGATGTCTCAGTATTTTGGTGATATCTCTATTGATTTTCATTCGTTCCAATCCAATTTTTGTTTTGAAATATTCGCCTTGTTATCCTCTACAAGAATCTATATTTCGTATTTCATTCGAACTTATTTTGCCTGTACTGCACAATGAAAAGTAAAGACCTTCAAAAAATAGTTTTTTGTAAATACCAAGATGGTGATAGTACAACTAAGATTTTTTGAGATTTGAACGGCTCTTTGGGACTCAATACCATCCAAAGATGGTGTAACATGATCCATCACACCGGTTCTATTCAGTTATCAACACCACCGGGTAGACCACGTCTTTGTCGAATCAGTAAAATGATTCAAAAAGTTAAACACAAACTTGACCAAAAGAAGCTAGTATCAGTTCAAAGTTTGGCTAAAGATTACGGCATGTCCAAGTCAAGTGTACATCGAATACTGAAAGAAGATCTAGAACTCTATCCATACAAAATGATAATCGAACCGAAACTCACCAACAAACATAAAATCAATCGAAAAAAATTCGCTAATTGGGTCTTTAACAATTTTCGAAAAGAAGACACCATGTGGATTTTATTTTCAGATGAAAAAATGTTCGATATCGATGGTGTATACAATTTCCAAAACCAACGTATTTGGGCAGCAAGTCATGCTGAAGCAAATGAAAGAGGTGGCATTAAAATATGGAAATGAGACCTTTGAAGAACATTGGACATTTCAACAGGACGGTGCGAAACCTCACATCCATCACCTAACACAAAAATGATGCATGGACAAATTTCCATCGTTCATAGATAAAGATCATTGACCACCGAATAGTCTAGATTTGAATCCGTTGGACTATTCTATTTGGGACGGATTTGCACAAACCATCAACTGGAACAAAGTAACATCCAAAGACACACTTATCGAAGAATTGAAACGTGCAGTCAAAAATATTCGACAAGATGTTGTTTTAAAAAGTTGTTCATCTTGGACTATTCGTTTAAAGCATGTCTTAAAAAATAATGGATGTTACTTGAAAAAATAAATCACATGTCATTTTGTAGAGCATGCAAAGCCCTACCCTTTGAAAAAAATCAATCCTAAACAAATGAATATTAAGAGCGATATCATCAAAATACTGAGACACCCATTATTTATCGATCTTTCAAGGTCTTTAAAGATCTGTATCGATATTTTTTTTTGTACCTGATTGGGCTGGAGTTTCTGAGAGTACAAATTGAGGAGTGTAGAAGAGATCTTTAAAGATTTCTTGATAGCTATCATATGCCTTAGCTTTGTTTTGGTTTGCCGAAAGTGGGAACGGCTGTATACGATGAACTTACGGTCGTGTAGGGCTGTATACGCTGATATTACAGCCGTGAACGATGTCGTATAAGGTATTGCCCATCGGCATTGATGCCGTGTCAAGTCATAATTACGGTCGTATATTGTTTTCGTATCATACCGTTTACGGCACGGCAAAATACCACCGTCATACAGCCCATGGAAATACGGCGAGGATACAGCCGTAAGCAGCCGTATTTCCACCGTATACGGCGGTATACGATCGTTTCTGGTTACCGTAATGCTCGGTCTGGGAACAATATACTTAAAATTTTGTTGGATGTTATACTTATTATTTGCAAATATTAAAAGACAAGAAATCTCTTTAAAAAATAGATAAAAGACATAGATGAGAAATGACTTGAATGATATTATAAATATGATAGAAATGATAAATCGAAAAAAATAATGTAAGAATATAAAACTTTATTTAATATTTTAGATTTCTTTTGTATAATTTATTTGAAATATTAAATAACTCATAAAGAAATGAAAATAACATCGACAAACGGTAATGCGTCTCGTTTAAATAATGACAATAAAAGATTAGAATATATTTGTTCATATATAAGATATAAATTTGATAATCTATTTGCTCATGGTTTAATTTTTATTATTCCATTATTAACTATTATAAGTGTATTTATTATATTAATATTTAGTATAATTTATTATTATACTAAAGGAGTATATAATTATAAAGATGCATTATGGGAAACATTTACACGTATACTTGATCCATGTGCAGCAGCACACGATGAAGGTCTAAAACATCGAGTTATATCTGGAATTGTTATACTTTGTGGTCTTGTTATTGTTGCCATATTAATTGGTGCAATTGTAACTTTTATGGAGGAAAAATTAAATGAATTAAAAAAAGGACATACAACAGTTATTGAAAAGAATCATACAAGTAAAATTTATAAATTAAATTGATTAAATATTCAAACAGAAAAAATTTATGCCTCTTTCTTTTTTTTTGTGTTTAGTAATTTTAGGTTGGTCACCAAAAATATTTGATATTATTAATGAATTAATTATTGCAAATGAAAATCAACGTAATCCTTCAATTGTTATTTTGACATCAAAAGATAATAGTGAAGTTAAATATATGATTAAAGATAAAATAAATAATTCAAGAAATACAAGAATTATTTATAGAAATGGTGATCCTATGTCGGTATGTAAAAAATACAAAAAATTGTTTTTTTTTTGACAAATGCTCTTCTTTTTGTCTCTCCCTTTTACTAATAGTATGACAATGAAAAAATAATAATATTCTGACTGCAGCGTGTTCTTCCACTTTCCCTCCCTTATTCGCTCATCTTATAGGCTATAAAAATTCATTTAAAGAATATTTTCCAAGTACTCTAATAATTAAAAAAAATAGTTTTTCCAAAAATTCTAACCGAAAACCAGAAAACATTGATTCGAATTTTTTTTGGACAACGCTCATCTGATTGTTTGCTGTGTCTCTTTCGTAATAACGAATGCCGAAGAGAATTTTTTGTTCAATTTTCTATTTTATTGTCTATATCTAAATATCATAAATAAATGATTGCATTATATGTATTTTATTACTTTTAGATCAATGATTTAAATAAATTGAGTCTTAATCAAGCACGATCAATAATTATACTGGCACCGAAATTAAACAATCCTGATGTTAGAATAATAAAAACAATATTAGCAATTAGAAATAATCCACGACGAAATAAGATTAATTTTCGTATTGTAGCCGAAATAAAAGAACGAATTAATTTAGAAGCGGCAATAATTGCAGGTTTTTATTAGATTTTATATATTGAAATATTTTTTTTTACATGTTTTACTCATCTTGTTTTTATATAAGTACTTCGCTCGAACACATAAGTTGCTGTCTAATGTCACATGAATAATAAAATGAATAATTTAGCTTTGTTCGCAGAACTGTTGAATGGTAAAAAATAGAATATTTGTTTTTTTTAGGCGGAGATGAAGCATTATTTGTCTATGCCAATGAAATAATTGCACGTATTATAGCTCAATCATGTCGACAAAGGGGTTTAAGTGTAATATTATCAAGTTTATTATCATTTCAAGGTGATGAAATTTATTTTAAACATGAAAGTGCACTTGTTGGTAGAACATTTTATGATGCTGTATTTTCATATGATAAATGTTCAGTAATTGGATTAATGTTATCCGATGGAACAGTTAAAATATTTCCTCGATTAAATACAATAATAAATATTGGTGATCAAATTATTGTTATCGCTGAAGATGATCATAAAATTATATTATCATCCGATTATTTGTCACGTATTAATTATGAATATTCAGGATCAAAATCATCATTATTATTTAATCATAATACAGTTTTATTATCCAATCCTGTGACTAGAAGAGCGACAAAAATAATTGAACGAAATCTTCTACTCGGATGGAATAAAAAGGCTCCATTAATTGCTAGAGAATTGGATACTTATGTTGCTCGTGGTAGTGAACTACATATATTAACAAATTCGAATATAATAACACAATTTATAAATGAACAATTAGTTAATGAATTAACAGAACAAAAAACATTTGTACATTCTGGAAGCTTCACTAATAAATTAGATTTAGAAAAATTAAATTTATTTTCTTATGATTATGTTATATTATTAGCGAATGAAGAAAGTGAACAACAAAATTTAATTGAAGAAGCTGATGCTGAATGTTTAATTTGTTTATTATATTTAAAAGATATTATTGATAAATCAAATAATGAAAGAACATTTAGTATAATAGCAGAAATGTATGATATACGTAATTGTCAATTAGCAAATAGAACATGTGCCGATGATTTTATTGTTAGTCCAAATTTAATATCAAAATATATTTCACAATTATCTGAAAATAAAAATATTAAAAAAGTTTATGATGTTTTATTAACAGCTGATGGTTCTGAGATTTATTTATGTTTAGCATCGATGTTCGTTCCACTAGAAACACCAATTAGTTATTATCAAATTTTACAAGAAACATTAAAATATCAATATTTAGCAATTGGCTATAGATTAATGAAATATTTACATGATGAAACAAGATTTTTTGGAATTGTTTTAAATCCAGATAAACAAGAACAAATTATATTTTCAAAAAATGATAAAATTATTATTTTAGCTGAAAACTTTATGTCATTTACTCCCCGTAGGACGCAAATTCGTAGATACCGGCTCGCTATTAGCGGTAAACCGCCGTAAATTACAGTAATGGGAGCCAGGCCTCGAAACGGACCAATTTTTGATGGCCCGATCCGGTCCGTATAACAATGGCACTATTATAAATACATTTTTTTTTACAAAAAGTTTTTTATATAACGGAACTCAATGGTTATTGGAGTGTGTCGGATGTGGGTCTGGGGTGTGGGTGAGTTTGTGTGTGAGTGTGTTGTGACGATTTTAGGTATAATAGGCATAGTTCGAGAGCTATTATTCTAATACTTTATTAGTGTAAGTAAAATCGTATCGTACTGTATATTTCTCGCTCCTTATGTACTATTTCTTAACATAGAAGGATCTTGGAACATACAGTAAACACAATGACAGAAAAATATGTGTTTAAGGGCAAAGTCAAAGAAAAGCAGAGGTTAGGTAAGGATTGTAGTTAACCCCATACATATAACGAATGGAAAAACATTGCGGTTATTCCTTTTATGGATAAAATTATGTACGAGTTAAGGACAAAATAGTAATATCGTTTCAAAGTACATACAAGTAACGTTCATCGTCAAGCGATTCACTTAGCCCTAGACTGATAGAATACATGTACGGAAGGAATAACATAAAAAGCTACATTAAAAAAGTAATACGCAACATTGATAATATGACCAGTATATCTTAGGCGACCAGAAAACTTAATTTGGAGAATTCTCACTCTAAGTAAAGATGATGCATTTACAAATTTAATTTTTTTTTATCGTTTTTGTTTTATTTTTTTTTTTGCTTTTATGAATATAAATAGCGCCTAATAAGATTAGACAACAATACGATTTTTTTTATAATTATATTGGCGCTATTTGTACGTACAAAAATATGAATTATATTATTCATAAAATTTGAGTTTTATTAATCAATATTTTATGCTTAAATTCACGCATTAATTCTAAACTATTAATAAATTAGATATTCATTGATACAACATTGCACAATCAATCTTACAATAATGAATAATTTAAACTATTTCTTTAAATCCATACTGCTCATTTGGTCTGACTCTCACTAATTAAATGCTTGTGTAAGTAAGCCGTTTTACATCACTACCCAAATTATAGTTATTCCATTGACATTTTACCCATGATTATTATGGGTTCATTTACATCAGTCTTTAGATGGTCATTTGTACCATAGTTACCGGAATAGTTGTTTGTACCATGATTGCTATATGGTCACTTGTGCCATAGTTATGTGGTCGTTTCTACCAAAAAAATGACCGTTTGTGCCATAGTTACATGCTCATTTGTACCATAGTTACCTAGTTAATTTTAGTAAAAAAATGGCCGTTTGTGCCAAAAAAATGGTCACTTGTGCCAAAAAAATGGCCATTTGTGGCACGAAAATGGTCACTTGTGCCAAAAAAGTGGTCGTTTATGCCATAAAAATGGTCACGTGTGCCAAAAAAATGGCCATTTTGACTGCGTTACCGACAGACAGACGGACAGACAGACAGACAGACAGACACAGGTGAATTTCGGTTTCTAGACCCTAGCCTTTCAGTCTTGGGAATAGAAAGAAAATCTTATTTTATTGGCTTTGCGCGCCATTCGAAATATATATTTATTTTTATTTTAACGATCACATAGTTACCATATGGTAACCGTACGTGTTACAGACAGACAGACACAGGCGAATTTCCGTTTCTAGACCCTATACTTTCAGTCTAGGGAATAGAAGAAGAACGAACGGAAAAGGATATCGCGGTTATTCTGTTTTGTACGAGAAAAGAGCAAACCAATAATGTCAGTACAAGGTACATATAGAAAGATAGAAGTATGGATAAACAGAAAAAGACATTGCAGTCATTTTTATCGAGAAAGAGCAACAACTTGTGGCTGTTACATGTGTGAGTATGAGTGTGGATGTAGGTGTGTTGTTGATGTTTGTGTAAATCTTCAGTCCATTCAAACTCACATCCACACCCTAAATCGCTTCGAGTCAAACTCTTATTTTCTGGTCGATGTACACTTAGACAGAGCACCAGTCAGTAGAGAATTAAACTGTGCACATAATACACCACTTGAAGAGCCAACAGCGGTTCATGAGTGCAGGTTTGCAAGGAAAACTCGAATCCACAGAATTTCCACCTTTTCAGGCAGCCCTGATAATGACCACATAAGACTGTTTCGATGAAAAAATTTTTCAAAAACGTTTGAAATACACGTAAGTCAGCTCAGTTTTTGATGTTGATTGCGAATATCATACTCATTTTGCTCAACGTTTTACTTTCTCTAACCGAAATCTGCAAAAACTTCATGTAAAGGGTGTGGGTGGAGGTTGTGGCTGTGGCTGTGGCTGTGTGAGTGTCGGTGTGTATGTGGGTGTAGGTGTTGATGTAGATATTCTTTTCACTCACACCCACACCCACACCCAGCTCATACAATTAGTGAAACAGGAGTTGATGCTGAATTTGTGGAAAAGCTTGAATCATCAGGTACATCAGTAATTAATCAAGTTTTTGTCTAACCAGTTTTTCCTTTAGTTATAAATTCTCAAGCTGATAAACCAACACATGGTAAGTAAGATAGAATATCTTTTTTTTTATTTTTGATCAGTTTTGTTCATAATATTTGTAGAAATGAAAGAAATCCGTCCAGAACCTGGAAGTATATACATGCTCCGGCTCAGTATACCTGAAGCATTTGGGATATTCGAAAGTGATGAACCAGAAATATCTTCATTTGCATCATGTGCATCTTCATCATCAACTGAAAGTTCTGCTAAATCTTCCGCATCACCAACAAAACCAAAAAAAAACAATATTACAAACGACCATGTATCGTGCTGTTCAATCATTCTGAATCAACAACCATTCTTGCTATTACCAGATTTCACGGTCATGATCCCGCTTCTACTAATATAAATGCAACTATTGTATTACCTGAATTAACAAGAAATTATGTATTTAAACACCTTTTATCAATTTATCCAAATCTTCCAGTTTTTGGTCGAAATAGCATCAAAATTAAATTAATTTGTCTGTCAATGTATTTTACACCTAAGGATAAACATTATTTAATCTTGAAGCCAATTTCTATTTCATCTGGAGCAAAATGGCCAAATCCAATACCAGATTTCGTTGAATCACATGAATTACATTATATTTCTCAGATGATTTTTGAATTAACGACAGAAGAAAGACAATCATCAACCAGTAATTCACAACTTCAAATAATATTCACAAAACCTGGATGGTGTGGATGGGTGTGGGTGTGGATGTAGGTTCTAATCCGCCCTTTACTCCCACTCACACCCGCACCCGCACTCACACCCGCACCCGCACTTACACCCGCACCCGCACTCACACCCGCACCCGCACTCACACCCGCACCCGCACTCACACCCGCACCCGCACTCACACCCGCACCCGCACTCACACTCACACCCTCACCCACACCCACATCCACACCCTAAGTCAATAAACATCCATATATTAGGATGAGTTTTATTTAAACGTCTTTTGAATCTATAGTTATATCCTAAAGATACACGAGTTTTAGCTACAAATTATAGCTGACATACTGCTTCCCATGCCTTCGCTAAAATTATTAGTTTTTTCGGGGATATCGAATACATTCCATGCAGATATTTGTCACATTCAATGATCATTAAAATATTTGAATAAATCACTTAATTCATTACATTCAGAACCATTTAATTCTTGTCCAAGATTTGCAAATAATGATGGAATATATTGTTCAGGTACTAAAGCTAGTGCCATCATTTGTCTAATAACACTACGTATCATAATATTATCTAAATAAGTTAATGATAAACCACGTGATTGAACATTTTTATATACACCTTGTGAAAAATGGAAAAAACATCTTTTCTGGATAGTTTTTTCTGTGAACTATAAAATTAAAAATATGTAGAGTTTAATCAGAAAGTTTTGATAAAAATTTCAAAGATAATTGTACCTCGAGACGAATGGCTTTAGCAATTCCTCGTTCAAAATCTGTCATAATCAGAAGAGAATCAAATTTTTTATTGAATCTTTTTGCTTCAGAAAATAAAATATGAAATAAATGCATATATGTTGTCGCTTTACGATCTGGAAGAAGTGCGTACACTACCGGCACACCTCTCATAATAAATAATATTTACATTAGCATGTAACAAATTTAAAAGTTCAAATATTTCATCAGATAGAGATAGCTTACATGTTCCATGAGAAATAGCTTGAATAATAAACATCTGGTCGAAGTTTGGTGGTGCAGTACAAAATGTACCATCCATGTGTAATCTTTGACTATCAAATAATAAATTAAGTTGAACATCTGTTGACCATATTAATAATCTTCCTGCAAATCGAATATCTCCTGATAGATTGATTTGAAATTTTGGATCATCACTATCATGTAATAATCAACGTTCTTTATTATGATAATCTGTTGTGTGTAAATCCGGAATGAGAAAAGAACATGATTGTGGAATTGGAGGAATCATTTTACGACGATTATGTACTAAATTATGACCTAAGACAAACATAAATAAAAAATAGACAAGAATATTAACATTGTATAAAAATATCAATACTATATCAATATTAGTTACACCAGGTAAAACAGCAAGAGCTTCAACTGTTAGCAAAGCATTGCGCATTTCGTGTTCAGCAATTATTTGTAATGGTAAAATTTCGCTTTCAGCTCTTTGTCGCATTTTTTCTCTCAAATTTCGGACTTCTAATTCAGCTGGATTTGGTAAATGAGAATGGTCAGTTACTTTTCCAGAATAACATAAAAATTCATCATCACGAGTTGCATGCAAGAGCACACCACAACTTCTATTAGTACACCGCCAAAACTTCAAATCTTTTTTTTTTATTAAAATTTTTTAATTGAAAATTATAACCATCTATGACTAACATTAATATTCGTTTATTTGATGTTGTTTTCGTAATTACAGATTTTGCTGAACATAAGGATGATGATGAACATTCAGTTGAACATGAGGATGACGATAATGATGATTCAGTCGAATATGAAGAAAATGATGATGATGATGATTCAATTGAAGAAGAGGATAAAGATGATGTCTCATCAGTCATCATTATGTCTTGTGATGTCATATGAAAAAATTTTGTTTTGTTTGATTATTTATGAAATAAGATATAGGTACAATCAATCGTAGTTCAATACTTTTTTCGTTCTTATTCCATTCATTCCCGTAAAAAGACGTCCTCTCTATAAAACAACTTAATTATCTATCGAACTATGTTTGGACTAGAGCGTCATCTACGTCCAAATAACGTTATATCCACAAAAAAAACAATTGAGATTGAAGCACATTTTCACACGAGGGACCATTTTCGCGAAGACATTTAATCTTGAGGACATTTAACTTGAAGGACGTTTTTTCCAAGGACGAAATACCAGAGACATTTTTTCCTGAGGACGAAAAGTCAGAGGACATTTCGTGAAGGACATTTTTGGAAGGACATTCTAGACTGTTACCGACAGGCCTTCTCTTAGGCATCAGTTCTCACCAGCAAGCGAAATAAAAATAAAAAAATATTGTAAATACATTAGTAAT